GTATGTAGTGTACAGTTCCTAGTGTAATACTGATTGTTTTAGAAGATATAGTGTTTTAGCTCTTAAGTATTCTGAGACACACAGTGTAGATTGATATATACAGAAGTAGAAATTCCAGTAGTGTAGTAATTATAAATATTCTCTTCTCCTACATCTTTAGAAAGTGTAGAGGTAAATCCCTAATCAACAAAGCTATAGCCTTCTTCCTTAATAGAATGTATTAGTATAACAGCTTCTAGCTGACCTTACACAAATTCTTGCTCCTGTAGACTAGTCATACAATAATAGGTAGCAGAGTTGTACTTGAAAATTCCTCTACTATGTCCTTGATTTTTCCAATAGACTAGTTCCTGCAAATGTAATGCCTTGTGCTTGTATTAGTAGAATATCTCTAAATGTGTACTCTTTTACATGTAATAACCAACTGTAATGCAAAATTGGATATCTTGCTGAGCCTGATGTTTGAATACTAATTGTAGAGTACAACCTAGAGTGTAATATTTGTTCTTAAGTGAAAATATTGGTTCAAACTCAATGAGATTGAAAAGTATTATCCAAATATTACTAGATATGTGTGTATATACACAGTATCTCTGTACACAATGAATGTCCTACTGTATTCTCATACTGTTTCCTTGTGTCTTGACTCATTTGTACCTTTATAAGTTGATTGATTTGATTCCTGAATTGTCTGAGTATACTTTCAATGTCTCATAGTACAATGTTCTATTACAAAATGTCTAGGTAGTATTCTTTACTTTCCTGAGTACTGTAACTGTCTGTATACTGTGTTGTTCCATGTATGTCTTAATAAAATGTCCTGTCTGTATGTGTAGTAGTACTGCCTGAAGTCCTGAGTGTATACTGCCAATTCTCTGTCCATTTGACAAATCTGTGTCTGGATCAATACATTCTAGCATTGACTTCCTGTCACTCTGTATACTTGTCCTTGTTCTAATGTATTCCTTCCTTGTGTACCTATCATGTATTCTATTTCCTGTAGTACTAATTCTGTCTGGTCCTGTAAAGTCCTTTACAAAATTGTTCTGTTGTAGATCAAGTTCAAAAATTGTACACTCAAATATGTAGTTTGTATGCTTAAAGAGTGTGTATATAATACAATGTGTGTGCCTCTTGCCCTCTTGTCAAAATATGACTTCATTTTTGGCATAAAATGTCTGGTATAGTTCTGAAACCTTTCTAGAGTGTCTGGAGAGGTCTTCTGTATGACTTTGTACTTCAAACTGATTGTAACTACTTATTCCTAGAGTAGATTAAACTGTGTCATTATCTAATAGATGTCCTAGAGCTTTCTAATACTTAATATCTCTCTGTAGGATTGAAATATCATTCTTGTGTGCTCAAATAGTCTGAATGATCATTCCTAATTCACTATTACTCTGATCTTTACTAACTGTATGTGTATTGCCTTCACTTTCCCTTAAAGTAGTGTGATAATCTGTTTGAGTGGATTGTATAGAATGTACTAGGTTCCAGCTTGTTCTCTAGCATAAAGTTGCCCTCTGAACTTCTGTACTTTGTTCCATACAATGTGTATCTGTTCCTGATCTCAGTAGTGTCTTACTATTACTGTAGTGTATAGATTGTATTGGTTTTACTTCCTGTAGGTTGCTAATATTATTCTGTAGCTTGAATAATATGATTCTTACTATGTGACCTGAGTATATATATGCTAGCACATCTGTTTACATGTCTGTAATGCCTGTAATACATCTAATAAAGTATCCTGAGTCTATTCTAATGAGTCCTGGTTGTCTGAAGGTGTATTTTGTAATGTAATACCTTATGTTCTGTTGTAGATATAATATATACTATAGATCCTTGTATTCTGATCTGGTTTTAGTGTTTGCTAACAGTTCTTTACTGTAAACTGAGTAGTTTCAATGTATAACATCCAATTGTACCTTATAGAACATTGTTCTATGTGAATTCCTTCAATCATACTCATTATAGACTGTATCTTCAATCCTGAAGATGGAAATGTGTGTTCTAATGTCAACTAACATAGTTCCTCTATAGTACTTAATACTAATCCTGTATCTCTTCCTGTAGTTTAATACTAACTTGCTAATTCAATTGTGTATTCTTTGTTGTATGAATGACTGTTAGTATTGAACATTATATCCTACAATCTTATACAAATTGTCTGTAATGTTACAGAATTAATATATCTGAATGTCTGAACATTCTGCTAGTCCTGAAAATGTCTGTAACAGTTCTTTACTTTCAAATACCTTCCTGTACTGAATATAATCAACTGTGTATGTGTATGTCTGTGTCTTTCTATCACTGTCAATGTGTCTCCATGTCTGATACTTATTCTGAAGCAGTATCATTGTATTCCTAATGTATATACACTTTTCCTTACTCAATATACTGATGTCTGTCTTTCAATACATAATGTAGCCTTCTAACTTAATAGAATACCTGTCTGAATTGTTTAGATTGAAATATGTCTCAGTATTCAAGAGTAGTTGTAGTTTATAGTCTAGTAATGCTTGATAGATTGTCCTGCTTATACAGTTTACTATTTGCATTACCTTGTAAACTATAATACTATCTGACTGGTTGTATTCTGATCTTCTAACATTCTCAGGTCCTTTCCTAATGTTCTGGTACACATTCTTGTTACCTGTAGACAGCCTGTATTTCTTAAGAGTTTGTTTTGATTTGTGGCTCTAAGAATTAGTAGTAGTGTCTCTGAAATGTCCATATATGTGTTACCTTACACTTGTAGCATCTTAGATTCCTTGAAACAATGGTTGTATACATGTTTCCTAGTGCTTTTCATGTACTATGTGTATCTATAGTCTTGTAGAATCCTTTCTACACTGTATGCCTTTGCTTTCAAGTGTAAAATGTTATTGTATACTGTATACAATTGTCTATCTTAGTGTTTAGACTTCCTACAATGTTCATTCCTGTACTGAATACCTATAGTATAATGCCTAAGTGCTATAGTCTTATAGAGTCTCAAATATACTGAATTCACCCTTTTAAATGTGCAATTATCCTTCCTGGACTTGTATTCTAGTGTAGAACACTCCTGTTCTGTTACTGAATCCTTAGTATAGCCTTCACAAGGTATCCAAATCAATAAAACATGTATATTACTACTCAATATGTTTGAGTCTGTATTATAGTCTGTAATCAACTCTAATTCTATGTAGTCTTTACTGTCCAAGTTGTCTGCTAACTTATCTAGAGTAGTGTAATTGATACTAACATTACTAGATAATAAACTGTCTTCCTGTACATTATTCAACCTGATTGTATTGTGAGTAGGACAATTCCTGACTAAGTGGTCATCTTGTTCACAAATAAAACATAGTCTGTAAAGTATCATTTCTTCCAATTCCACTTGGGAATAGTGCTTAAAACCTGTAGTATATGTTCTGTGATAGTTTCCTGTCTTGCTTTCATACTAGTCATCTGTAAGGGTTTGCTTTACTAGTTTGTATTTTATCATCCTTTCATTACTGATTGAGTCAGATCATTGTGTAGTAGGACTCATAGGCACATATATTCTCATTATAGTTAGTTACATTTGCTCCTTATGTATCTACATGTGTATACCCCTATAAAAGACAGTCTCTAGTACTAGGTAAAGGGGATTCTTTTCCCCTGACCCCTTGCTTGAGTACTAGGTTATCCTAGTCAGTAGTTGAGTAAACTAAGGGTGATTAGAATTCTCTTGTGAGGAACAGTAAGTTTCCTTACATATTTTTGACTACTCCCACCTAGTATCAATCCCCTACTAGGCACTAAGAGTAATTGAGGGTCTGATCAATAAAGAGTTCTGATTTTAGTTACTATCAGATCTTCTTGATTTTATTTAATTCTTTGGATTACATAATCACTTTCTTTATGTAGTTAGTTCTTTCCTATTTGGAATGGAAGAAGAGAGTTTTGACCAGAGCCTACAACAACACTAGAGGGAACAAGCCCACCAAAACCTTGCCTCTCATTTTGGAGCCTACTATAAGGGGTAGTGCCTCTGTTCTAAAGTGTCTGGGTTGTTTTTGTCTTGATCTTGGCCTCAAGGGCCTTGCCTAGCTTGTTTTGAATTAAACTGACTGTTTTGACATGTAAGAAGCACAATAACATGGCTGCTGAGAAGAGGATCAAGAGAAGTACTGTACTTTGACAGTAGCAAGCTTGAGGAACTTCTGCAGTTCTTTGAAGACATCAAGATGTTAGCTGCTGACTTCCAGAAGGATGCTGAGTAGATGTGTAAGCAAGTGATGTACTATACAGTAACAAGCTGTAGCAGTTTGTAGGCTACTGTGCCTGAGTTGAAGAAGAAAGGAGTGTGTAATTAGAGCATTGTGAAAGAGGAGATCAGAAAGCTCTATCCAGAGCTGATCAATGGTCAACACTACACAAGAGCCAATATCATACAACTAGTTAATGTGTAGAGTAAGAAGGAAATGATAGTGCAGACAGAGTTTGGCTACTACTGCTGCAAGTTCCAGGTGCAAGCAGAGTACTTGAAGGAGTAAGGGAAGATGTTAGTACATGAGTTAGACTGTGAGTTCTGGAGAGGGATCAGAGGGACACTGAGGACAAACCTGACACAATGACTAGAGATTCTCTATGTGGACAAGGATGTAAGCAAGCTGTTCAAATTTGCCAATGTAGTCAGGCTAGCAGACCATGTTCTTCTAGCAGGGCAGACAGAGGTAGGCTAAGACCAGACAGTAATGTTGTTAAAGGAGAAGCCAGAGAAAGAAGTAGGAGACAAGTATGTAAAGATTGTGAGGAAGCTCAAAGAGTTACAAGCCTAGGTCAACAAAGTAAGCAAGTCTAGGAAGATACTGATGAATCAAGTATGCAAAACTGACCAATCTGCTAATTCTGTAAAATCTGACCTGAAGCACAAGAGGACCTACAACTTTTGTGGAAAGCAAGGACATTTTGTATGTGACTGTAGAACTGTGAGCAAGTACACTCAGAGGGGGAAGTGTATGAGGTTGGGGCAGAAGATTGTGTTAATGAGTAGGGCATTTGTGCCAGCCAGTGTAGAGGGAGCAATGTTGAAGGAGTGTATAGACTAATACTATGAAGACAAGCCTGTGTTTACAGTAGGCACAATTGATGAAGTAAAAGATAGGTCAAATGCAAGTGAGGGAGAAAAGCACAAAGCTGTTCTTAGAGCAGATTTGGATACAGAGGTGACAAGGTTGGAGGAATGCTTAAGGAATGTGAAGAGACAAAGAGAGGAGGCAAGGACCATAAAGGCTAACACAAAGCCAGTCAAAGTCAGACTGAAGTAAAGTGCTGAGTCAAGCAAGATCATCAAGCAGGTCTTAGACTGGATGATAGACAGTATTGTCATATTGACACACTACAAGTTGTTTACAATAGCTCTAGAGCTTGAGTGCCAGTATACAGCTAAGCTTATAAGGACAACTCAGATGTGTGACAAAATGCCAAATAAGGCCAGAAGTGGACCTGTGAAGGCAGAGGAGGAAGAGATGAGTGAGGAAGTAAGGACTAACAGTAGAGAAGATTAGCACACAGGTACAAGTGTTGCATACAAGGACAACAAAGCACAGTCAAGCCTAGCAGCAGAGCTGAGAATGAGTGGATTGTATGGGAAAGTAGTGGATTACATTAGATTGAGTCGGATTTGAGCTGGAGAATGAGAACAAGAGTAGAGCAGAGGAGCAAGTGTGGCAAACAAGGCTGGAAGTGTACCAGTGAGGACAAGGGAGAATAGTGTAATGGATGAGCAGTAGAGGCTGTTGTAAAGGGCAGTAGCAAGCCAGATGAACAAGGTTGGAAGTGTATCTGTAAGGATCAAGTACTAAGACAATGAGAATCAGTCAAGCCTAGCAAGAATACTGAGCACAAGCAGATTATACAGGAGGACATTAGAAGCTGTCAGATCAGAGCAGTGTCAAGCAAGGGAGCATTAGATAGGCACCCTAGTCAGTAACAACAAGGCTGGAAGTGTACCAGTCAGGCTAGTGACAGTAAAGCTGAACAACAAATTGGAGACTGAGAGCTTACTAGACTAGGGAGCTGTTATGAATGTGATGCACAAAGACGTTTGGAAACACTTGAGAGTACTAAAGGAGTGAGTGTAGACAAACCTCAGGCTAGCAAATGTAGGATCAATTACAATTGAAGGTGTCATTCCAAGACTCAAGGTGTCAGTAGGTAGAATATTAATAGTAATGCCAGTTCATGTAGTGAAGGACACAATGTTCAACATAATAATTAGGAGGCTGTTCTTCATGTTAACTAAGTGTGAGACAAAGGATTTCAAGAACAGTAATCAGATTTTGACCTTGACAGACCTAGCAGATCAGAACCAGAAGTGTCAGGTTGAGACCTGAGCAGCTGTTGGATGAAACCTACTACTCACTACTACTACCATCTATGTTAGAGTTGGAGAGAATTGGTCTGGCAAGCCTTTAGCCTTGGTACAGGTTACATTCTCTTTACTCTAACATTCCCTTATACCCCTTTCTTTTATGGACACTCATTCTTACTTAAGACTCACACTCTTTGTTTCTTTATCTTACTTTGATTAATACCTTTTATCCTTACCCACACTCCTTATACTTACCCTTTATTATTGCTTCTCAAAGCAAGTGACTGAGGACAGTCACTATTTAAAGCTTGGGGAGGTAAAGAGTTCTGATTTTGGTTACTATCAGATCTTCTTGATTTTATTTAATTCTTTAGATTACATAATCACTTTCTTTATGTAGTTAGTTCTTTCCTATTTAGAATGGAAGAAGGGAGTTTTGACCAGAGCCTACAACAACACTAGAGGGAACAAGCCCACCAAAACCTTGCCTCTCATCAACCCAAGATTACTTCTCATTACCTAGTGCCCCTCAGGAATTATTAGTGAGTTAGTAGACATTTTTTGAGTTAGAACACAAACTACTTACTAGATTAGCCCCTAGTAGGTTCATAATACTCTAGAACACTTTGAAACATTTCTAGAATGTATTAACACATATTGATATGGACTAGTACTAGATACACTAGAGGTTTGCATTAATCAGATAGGTCAAGGACCAGGCATCTGTGAAGGCAAAAAGGAATGAACAGGTGTGTATTAAGTTTACAGACAATAGACAACAGGATTACACAAGTATTTTCAAAAACTGTAAAGTGATTGTAATACTTTAGAATGTTCCCTTAGGACTAGTAAGTCCCCATCAATCTACTATTACACTACTGAACAAGACCTTGTCCCTTAAGGGCTAGAGGTAATACATTGCCCCAGATTATAAGTTCTTGTCTTTAGGCTAGAGGTAGACTAGAGAGTATAATAATATTGAAAGTAAGTCCTTGTCTTTGGGCTAGAGGCAACTGTTACATTACATTAATACTATCAATACAGTAGCACAGTACTTTAGTAGTAAACATTGTCTATTGTATTCAGTAAGGGAAACAAGTAAGAAAAGTACACATATATACAGAATTACAGGTAATGTACATGTACAGAAGGTAAAGGAAGAGACTAATGTCAAGGATTCCATTAATCAAGCTTACAGAAAGCTCAATATGATTACTATCAAGGATTCTAGCAATCAAGAGAGAACAACATTAGTACACACTAAAGCAAGTAATAACTCTAACAAGTTTGAACAGAAACAGTAAGATTGTACTGTTAGAACAGAGGATGTAGGTGTTAGTAACAGTATAGAAGGGACATGAAGGCTCAGTAAGGGGACCCAGGCTACAACTATTCTACACAACAGAAATACAGAACACAAGTACTAGAACATAGTCAGAACTTACAGAACAGACAGAGAGAGAGAGTAAGACAAGAGTAGAGTATATAGAGTGAGTCTAAGAGTACAGGACTACCTAGAGTAGACAAGATCAAGACTATAGGACCAGTCTGATCTTGTACACCTATATATACTAAACTATACAAGAGTACTCAGAGAGTATGAGCTACTAAGAATGAAAAGCTACAAAGAATGAAAGAAAGGAAGGTCAAAGATAAAGGTACAAAGAATGAAGGGATAGACAAAGGGTAAGAGACTATAGAATGAACAAAGAATGAAAGGGTGGTCAAAGGAATAGAATGATGAAGTAAGGAGGGGTAGTAGTAAGAGTTAGTATACATATAGATAGTACTCCTGAGGGACAGAAGTCTCAAGTTCTAGTACAGAAGGGTGCAGAACCTTTAGAACTAAAGGTATGAGAGTAGAGAACTATAACATTACCCTCCCTCTAAAACTAATTGTCCTAATTAGTGAACATTAGGCTTGGTTAACAGTTTAGGCATAGGTTAGAACAGTAGGGTTTGGAAATCTGTAAGGCAGAGTTGATACAGAGCACCCAGATGAAGTCAATAAAAGTCTTGGATCACCTTAGTAGTATGAGTAAGATTCTCAGTAGGTTCCTAAGTGTGTTCTTCAACTAAGTATCCTTTCTAGTAGATAAGAAACTTGAGCTTTCTGTACACTAGCTTAGTATCTACTACATACTCTACTTTGTATTCTAGTTTGAAACTAATAAGTTCTGGTAGAGGCAGTAGAGGTCTTTGTTGTAAAGGAAAACCCAGATTATAGTACTAAGACAGTAGAACCTTGTTAAACACTGAGTGTATGTACTTTCATATTACTAGAAGTTAGAGTTTGTAGACAGAGACACTAACCTTCTTTTTAATAATAAAGGGTCTAAAGTACTTATTGTCCAACTTCTTCATTAGGCAATCCATAGTCAGGTTAGTAGCTTCTAGTATAACTTTGTCCCTAGACTGGTAATTCTTAGCTACAGATCTCTTCTGATTGTAGTTCTACTTTATTACTTATACTACCTTCTCTAAAAGAGCTTGTGTGTCTTCCCTAGTCTTATGTATCCATTCTACAAAGTCTGTTACAGATTCAGAACTACTGTTCCAGTTTGGAACTGTCCCCTAGTACAGATGTCTCTTATGATTGAGGAAGAACAGGGACTGTCCTGTTGTAGAGTGTTACTAGTTATTATGTATAAATTCTGTTAGAGCTAACTATTCAGACCAGTCTGACTACTAATGATTGATGAACATTTAGAGATAGAGCTTGATCTCCTGATTGACTTACTTAGTTTGACTATCAGTCTGTAAGTAATATGTAGTAGAAGGGTTCCCTTGAATTCTGAGAAGTACATACAAGTTCTACATAAATTTTGACTCAAATTATAGTCTGTAATTATGAATGAGCTTCTAAGGGAGTCTGTGTAACTAGAAGACATAATCCTAATAAATGTGTACTATACCTTCAGAAGTGAGTTCTGTTTGGGTCAGAACTATATAGACTTGTTTAGAGAATTAGTCAACAATTATACAGATAGTGTTATAACCCTAAGACTTAGGTAGCTTACTAATCAGGTCTACTAAGACTTCTTCCTAAGAGTGATCCAGAATCTAATACAGATGTAGGAGAGTCCAAACCCTTGTCTAGTAGGTATTAGTCTGTTAGTACATATTATAACTAGTTACATACTTTAGGATTTCCTTCTACATTCCTAGCTACTAGTAGTTCTAAGTAATAAGTTCCTACATTTTGTGTTAGTCTAAATGTCCTACAGTCAGATTGTTGTAATAAGCTTAAACAATGTCCTCCTACAGCTTCTAATCCTTCAGAACATACAGTTGGCCTTCCTAGTAAACCTGTCTATTCTTATCCTCCTCCTAGTCTCTAACCTACTTCTCTAACTACTTTAATACAACCTGGTCCTGTATGTGTCTTAGAGCTTACTATATACAGGTGACAAAGTTAACATCCTCAGATTTGAGTCAGATCTCTTAGATTGTCTTAGACACAAAATAGGAATTGTCTAGGAGAACAAGATTTTTGTTATTATTCTCCCTCCTTTCATAACCTACTTGTCTTAAGAGTAAATTAGCTTTTGTTATTTGTGTTCTAGGTTTGTAGGTTAGTACAAAGTTGTAGTTCTACAGTTCTAATATCTAGCAGGCCTAGTAGTAGTTGAGCTTCTGAGGTGCCTAGAAGTACTAGAGATTAAGGTAATCACTCTAAATCTCAAACTTCTGTACAGTACTAAGGAGATATTAACACTACTCCTCTAGGGAACAGACAATTGTAAGAAGTTCCTTATTATAGATAGGGTAGTTTTATTCTGTTACAGAGAGGGATTCTGATTAGAACACTATCAGACACTACTTTCTGTCAATAAACTAGAACAGTACTACTCTATTTGTAAAGTTAGAAGAGTTGGCTTTGACTCAGAACTTGTTTACAACTGTTAGAACTACTAATACAGGCTTGCTAGTAATAGCCTACTTAAGGGACTCAAACACAGACTGTTACTAATCACCCTATTACTAAGGAACATCTTTACTAGTGAGATTGTGAAGAGGCCAGGCAATAGTACTAAAGTCTTAAATAAAGTGTTAGTAGTAGTTTACAAACCTAAAGAATGCTTGGACTTGTTTCAGGTTCTAAGGTTGTAGCTAGTTCTGAACTGTAGTTACCTTTGCCAGATCTATACAGACCTCTCCTCTACCAATCACAAAGCTTAGATAATCTACTGACTCCTGTGTAAAAGAACACTTTACTTCTTAGAGGAACAGTTTATTATCTTAGAGCTACTACAGAACTGCTTGGATCAGTTAGTAATAGTACTTGACTGTCTGAGTAAAGATCAGAATGTTGTCCAGATACACACTAACATACTCTGAGTCAATCAAATCTGTAAGAATGTGATTCATGAATGACTGGAACATTGTGAGCAAGTTAGTTAGTCTAAAGAACATTATAGTCAGTTTGTACAATCTATAATTGGTTTAGAATGTAGCCTTCTACTCATCTCTGTCTTGGATCCAAATATTATTGTATCCCTATCAAATGTCCAACTTAGTGAAAACCCTAAATGTATGCATCTTATTAATAAGCTCCTGAATCAGAGAGAGTGAGTACTTGTTTTTAACAGTACCCTTATTAAGACAATAATAATCCTAAACTGGGTAGAGCTTCCTATCTTTCTTTTTGACAAAGAAGAAAGAGGAGACTATAGGAGACTTTAAGGGTTGGATCCAGCTGTTCTAAAGATTTTCCTAAAGGAACTCATTAAGTACCTCCTACTTGTCTCTGTTAAGTAGGTAGACCTTACAATCCTTAGGTTGGAAACCCTTAGTCAATTTAATTGTATAGTCCTAGGAACAGTATTTAGGAAGCTAGTTTAATTCCTCTTTACTAAAGACTTTAGGGAACTCTTAGACAAAATCCAGCAGGCTGGGTCTACATACATTCTAGAGTAGAGTTGTTCTAAGAGGGTTCTAGACTAGTTCCATCTCAGACATTCTTTAGATTGACTCTGTTCTGCCTTGACTAGAATATGTGTTCATATATCTATCCTAGTTAAAGAAGAACAACCAGTCACCTTTATTAGAACTGTTAGTAACATTAAAAGTGTATGTATTTACTTAGAACAGTAGTATAAGATAGTTGTAAGACTTGGAACACTAATTAAACACAAGTGTCTACTCTAACTAGTTAATAGTAGGGTTGTGAGCTTTAAACTATTCAAATCCAATAAAGATGTCTGTCTTTCTAAGGTTAGTGACTCTAAACTTAATACTTTCCTTATGATTCCAAATAGTCATCTGTAGTTAGACAAACTTAGTAATCTAACTATTCTAGTTCAGGGTTCTGTCTACATTATATACTAGGATTAGAAGTAGAATGTGTTGAGTAGGGAGGTAGTGTTCTCACACAAAGGCCTTGTTAATGTATGAACTAGTGTATCTACTATCTACTAGAGCCATTATTCAGATCTGGGGGGATCCTGAGAAGGGAGCTAAAAGGATAGGGACCTAGAGTTAGTACTTAGAAT